CCCTGTACAGACCAGCAGACTTTGCCTTTTGTGAAGGAAAGCACATCTTGCACCCTGTAAACGTATGATGCACAAGCTGTGCTTCTCTGGTGACTGCTGCAGAGGCAGTGTACTTCCAAGCTATTCCCTGCTGCAGGCCATGCCTTAAAGGCACAAGTGACTTCTCATTCTTTTACCCCCAGGAATGACAACGTGGCGGTGGGATGTTTGACACGTTTTCACTAAAATGAGAGAGGTGGAATGTTCTGCTGGTTTGAACAGTGGGCTGGCAGTCAGGAGACTTGGATTTAAATCCCAGTCCTGCCATTGCCTCATTCCTCAGCATAGAGTTCTGTAGAATGAACAGTTGCGACCCTTAAATTTTTGCCATTTTTACTTCAAATAAATATTTCAGTACTTGCTGTACTCCCTACATTACTAGGGTGTTTGCTCTAAAGAGGAGCAGCAACTGTTAGTTTGCACTTGCAGAATTTCCTTCAGATTCTCTTACAAGCGGGGAGCAGCTTTTGCTACCTGCAGAAGCCATGGGTTTCAGACTCTTCCCTCCCTATATCCCCCAAGCTATGCAAGGGAATCTCAGCAAATCTGCACAGAGGTCTCTTGCCTCCTCACTCCAGCACTTTGCCTCCCTTGAACAACATGATCTCTCTATGAATTGTGCTACAAGGGGCTCACTTGTCCTGTGGATTCCCCTGAAACCCCTTTAAGGGTTGTTCTACACCACACAGGGGGGAAGACCGTGTAAGTTAGTATAGACAGAATCGGAGGGTTTGGGGTGGGGAGAATGCAGTGATGCAGTGCAAACCAGTGAACCCTCTCCACCTTCCTCTGCTTGCCCTGTCAAACATTCAGAAGTGAAACTGTGTTCTCCATGCAGAGAGGATTCCACAGAATAAGGGAGCAGGAAGGAGAATATTATGCAGGTGGTACCCCACAAGTTCAGATCCATGGGTGCAGGCTCTCTTTGGAATGCATATGTTGAAGGAAGTATGGGGATCATTAATAATTATGTTGCTAGCAAAATACTGTTAGGTGGGTAGCCTTGTATTTGGAGGTAGAGTACTTCAGTCTTTGCAGGGTAATCTGTGGTCTGCATAAAAACTGTATTTAGAACTCCCTGTGTCTGGTGCTGGATGTGATTTGCACTGAATTTTCTTTACACATCAAAGTGTAAGAAAATACTTCAAACACCTAGTACTCCTGTCAAGGTTCCTCCCCCACTCTGAACTCTAGGGTACAGATGTGGGGACCTGCATGAAAACCTCCTAAGCTTACTTTTACCAGCTTAGGTTAAAACTTCCCCAAGGTACAAATTAATTTTATCCTTTGTCCTTGGAATATCCACTGCCACCACCAAACTCTAACTGGGTTTACTGGGAAACGTAGTTTGGACACGTCTTACCCCGCAAAATCCTCCCAACCCTTGCACCCCACTTCCTGGGAAAGGTTTGGTAAAAATCCTCACCAATTTGCATAGGTGACCACAGACCCAAACCCTTGGATCTGAGAACAATGAAAAAGCATTCAGTTTTCTTACAAGAAGACTTTTAATAGGAATAGAAGTAAATAGAAGTAAAGGAATCACCCCTGTAAAATCAGGATGGTAGATACCTTACAGGATAATTAGATTCAAAACATAGAGAATCCCTCTAGGCAAAACCTTAAGTTACAAAAAAGACACACAGACAGAAATAGTCATTCTATTCAGCACAGTTCTTTTCTTAGCCATTTAAAGAAATCATAATCTAACACATACCTAGCTAGATTACTTACTAAAAGTTCTAAGACTCCATTCCTGTTCTATCCCCGGCAAAAGCAGCATATAGACAGACACAGACCCTTTGTTTCTCTCCCTCCTCCCAGCTTTTGAAAGTATCTTGTCTCCTCATTGGTCATTTTGGTCAGGTGCCAGCGAGGTTACCTTTAGCTTCTTAACCCTTTACAGGTGAGTGGATTTTTCCTCTGGCCAGGAGGGTTTTTAAAGGCGTTTACCCTTCCCTTTATATTTATGACAACTCCAATAACTGCCTTTTGATCCTGAGGGATCCACCAGTGCTACACAAACTACCTTCTTGTAACACTGCTGAAATGCAGTTACTTCTGGGGTGGAACGTAGTAGCCAACTGACACGCAACAGTAGTAAGAGAGGACAATATGGCCAGGCACCAAGACAAGGTCCTACTGTAATGTAAAGTGTGATTGGCTCATTAATGTCTATTGAGAACAAACAGGACTAACGTTTCTAATGTTGAAAGAAGCTGATCATGTTCAATGATCAGCTGAAATATCTTTATGTAGTTGTGACAGGATCCCTGGGGTACTGGGGAACTGTTATGCTCTTATCTCTCCAGCCCAGGCTCTTTCTCGAGCACAGGCTCTCTCTCGCAATGCTTTGCTAGTGACAAGCAGCAAACCCCCCAGGTGCTGTTATCACTCAGTACAACAGCCCCACATCCAGCTAAATTGCATGAGCCACTCACGAATCACACAGAGAAAGGCACCAGCAAATCTCCCAAGCCCCCAGCCTTGCAGCCCAGAACAGTAACTGTCTTGCCCTAGTCAGAAGCCTGACCTGTACATGTTCATTACCCAATCTGTCCCTCCCTCGATGTGGAGAGGATACACGCTAGCCTTTGTAACCTGAGCTGAGATTTCCCAAGCACTTCAGCCAAAACGCTCTGGTTTAGATAAAATATAAAACAGGTTTATTAACTACAGAAAGATCAATTTTAAGTGATTATAAGTGGTAGGCACAAGAAGTCAGAGATAGTTACCAAAGAAAATAAAAGGTAAGCATGCAGTCTAAATCCTAGACTTTATGAGGCTGAACAATATTTGTATCAAGCAGTTTTTCTCACCCTACTGGATGTTGCAGGTAGTTTACAGTCCTTAATACACAGGCTTTCCCTTTAAGCCTGGGACCAGTCTCCTCAGTTCAGGTCTTTGTTTTTCCAGCATTCTTTTGCTTTCAGTGTAGGTGGGGAGGAGAAAGGTGCCCTCATGATGCCACTGATCCTTATTTTATACTCTTAATCCATGTCCCTGGAAAGAAACTAACCCAGGCATGCCTGGTTGGGCTTCCTGAGTCACAGGGTTGAGCAATTCCCATTGTGTGGTGTTTCTCTTACAGAATTGTAAATTCCTTGTTTACAACTCACCTGCTGATTAATGGTGGTTTGATGGCAGCCTGGGTGTGGATCACCAGCTTTGTTGTCACTGGAGAACTAACAATGTATGACTCCCAAATTTACAACATATTTCAATAACAACCATACAGCAAAATCTCATCACTTCATAAACCCTAATGATATACATATTTTGACAGAACAGGTTTCAGCAGATCATGACCTTTAAAATGATACCTCACAAGGCATACACTGTACAAAACATATCATGATTATATGACAGTGGTGGATATGGCGGTTCTAGGGTGCTGCTTGGAGGTACAGAGTGCCACAGTAGTAAACTGCATGGTACTCAATTTGACTTATAAGAATGTAGGGTTAAGTTCAACCTTCTGGGAAATGAATCTCTGATTCTGGGGGGATTGAAGTATTAAAAGCTTGATTCTTTGACCATACAGTGACCCTCTTTAACAAAATCTGATTACCAAAAGATATCAAATGTTAATAAACAGCCTTTCTCATGAAAACCTTGTGGTTGTGTGGGACTAGATGTGTGGAAATGTTTTCCCAGTCCAGTGAAACTGGGAAATTTCTGGATTTTTGCCAATCCTGTTTATATTATAACTTTATTGTGTTGTCTTAACTGTTCATAGTAGCAAAAGGCAATTTTTATGAATAAAACCAGCTTTCCCTCCTCCTTGTCTCCATCCAAAACAAAAAATTGCCCCCTTCCATCATCCTGGCCTGTGCACACCTGCCAAGGACCAGTGATAACCTGACTGTTTGCCTCAATTCTGCTTACTTTGGATTAGATTGTGGGCCCATTACTTACATTGGTAGGCAGGTATAACCATAGATTGTGCCATTGCAGTCAAAGTACTCATGGGATTAACTGCTCAGCAGTGGGAATAAGGAGTTCACAATGGCAAAGCTCCTATTGACTTCAGTGGGAGCAGGATTTCACCCAAGGTTTTGCTACTTTATACTCCTGCTAGCACTGCATAGCCTATAGGATTCTATTCTGGCTCATGTACCATCATCAGAACAAGCAACTTAGTTCCAGTTGTAGAATCTATATTGTTGCTCCTGTTGTGTGAACCAGAAAGTACACAACTTGACTTTCATTTCCCAGCTTGAATTTTTAGGAACAGTAGTTAAAAAAAGCAGTATTTTTAAGAAAACTTTCTTACTTGTAAACTGAGCAAAATTCGACATAGAAGTAATTGAAAAACAGTAAGCTTGGCACCCCACAATGTCATGTTTTAATATATGACTACATTTTCAGGTTCAGAATTTGCACAGATTTTCAGCAGGGACAGAGGAAAGGGCTGCAGTTGCAAATGTCACCACCTTCACTAGCAAAACCCCATGTTTTCTTTTTTCACCCTCAAACATACCCCCTTATTTTTGGTAAATATTTGAAGTGAATAAAAAAGAGATTCACTCCACTTTATGAAGAACACTAATCATTTGTTGATTTCTAATAAACATAAATACCAGTGTCAAGCAGATCTGCCACAATCATGCAGTATTTGGTTTCTGGCAAATCTCTAGGTTTCAGTCATTGGAGGAAGATGTCTTTTATCTACTGCTTAAAAGGAATGAGTTGTATTTGAAACTCATTACTTTGCCTAAAAGTTTTTTAACTTTACCAACACCATTTACTGAGGAAATTGCCTTTAAAACATTCAATAACTGCACAGTGTTCATGTCTTCTAGTCATTTTGTAACACTGTGCTCAAAAAGTTGTTTTTTTTTGCATTGTTGGAAAAGGTATAAAATGTCATTTTTTATATTAGCAAAGCTGTCCAGTGCCTGTGTTTCAGGTTGCATCAGTGTTTGTTTCTTGTTAATTTGATCATTTGTCATTTATAGATTTCAAAGAATTTGAAAAGCATCCTCAAGACCTGTAGACTTTTTGACTATAACCGAACAGGACAAATACAGCGGCATGAGCTAAGACAGATTCTTGAGATCAGTTGTTTCAAGATGAAGGATGCAGAGTATGAAAAGTAAGTAAGGAAATAGTCAAAGATTTCTGTATGTTTCTTGAAATTAATAAGTTAAGGGGCCTATGTGGACTTCTGAACTGCACAGGCTGTCAGATTCTGGAGAGTGGCTTGGCAATAGGCTGACTTATTAGGATAAAAGCTGGCTGGCTGCCAAGAGCCTTGCTCCATATTATGGACCTATCCCTTTAATCACCCAGATGCACACTGCAGCCTCTGAAACTTCCTATACTCTGAGGGAGGTAGTAATTCCATTGTCTGGTTCCTAAAGGAATGGGTCATAGCATCTGAACTCCTCCTAGCTTCAAGCAGCTTGATTGTTGTGGGTGGGAACGGGGGTCTCATCCACACAGTCTCAAAGAGATTGGTTTCAGAGTCGCAGCTGTGTTAGTCTGTATCTGCAAAAAGAAAGGGAGTACTTGTGGCATCTTAGAGACTAACAAATGTATTTGAGCATAAGCTTTTGTGAGTTACAGCTCACTTCATCAGATGCATGCAGTGGAAAATACAGTGGGGAGATTTTATAGACACAGAGAACATGAAACAATGGGAGTTACCATACACACTGTAACGAGAGTGATCAGGTAAGGTGAGCTATTACCAGCAGGAGAGAAAAAAAAATCAAACACTTTTTGTAATGATAATCAAGGTGGGCCATTTCCAGCAGTTGACAAGAACGTGTGAGGAACAGTGCAGGGTTGGAGGGAATAAACAAGGGGAAATAGTTTTACTTTGTGTAATGACACATCCACTCCCAGTCTTTATTCAAGCCTAATGTAATGGTGTCCAGTTTGCACATTTAATTCCAATTCAGCAGTCTCTCACTGGAGTCTGTTTTTGAAGTTCTTTTGTTGAAGAATTGCAACTTTTGGGTCTGTAATCGAGTGACCAGAGAGACTGAAGTATTGTCCGACTGGTTTTTGAATGTTATAGTTCCTGACGTCTGATTTGTGTCCATTTATTCTTTTACGTAGAGACTGTCCGGTTTGGCCAATGTACATGGCAGAGGGACATTGCTGGCACATGCTGGCATATATCACATAGGTGGATGTGCAGGTGAACGAGCCTCTGATAGTGTGGCTGATGTGATTAGGCCCTATGATGGTGTCCCCTGAATAGATATCTAGACACAGTTGGCAATCTCTCTGGTCACTCGATTACAGACCCAAAAGTTGCAATTCTTCAACAAAAAAACTTCAAAAACAGACTCCAACGAGAGACTGCTGAATTGGAATTAAATGTGCAAACTGGACACCATTACATTAGGCTTGTATAAAGACTGGGAGTGGATGTGTCATTACACAAAGTAAAACTATTTCCCCATGTTTATTTTCCTCCCGCTACTGTTCCTCACATGTTCTTGTCAACTGCTGGAAATGGCCCACCTTGATGATCACTACAAAAGGTTTTTTTTTTTTTTCCCCTCTCCTGCTGGTAATAGTGCACCTTACCTGATCACTCTCGTTACAGTGTGTATGGTAATACTCATTGTTTCATGTTCTCTGTGTCTATAAAATCTCCCCACTGTATTTTCCACTGCATGCATCCAATGAAGTGAGCTGTAGCTCACGAAAGCTTATGCTCAAATAAATTGGTTAGTCTCTAAGGTGCCACAAGTACTCCTTTTCTTTTTGCGGATACAGACTAACACGGCTGCTACTCTGAAACCTGTCATTATGCAAGGCACTGAATTTAGCCGTATGGAGCGGAAATCCATCAACTTCATGAAAAAACTCGTACAGATACAGACAGACATCATCTTCCTTTCCAAATGCAAACAGATGGACATCGTACCAAAAGGACTGAAGGTAAAAAATCCATTACAATCTACATACCACACAGACTATGCTGACAGCTTGTGCCACACACTCTCAAAGAAACTGCAGAACCACCTGATCAACATCCTCTACAGCAAACCAGGAAAGATTAAGAATGAGCTCTCAAAACTGGATACTCTCATAAAAAGCCAACCCTCCACACAAACTTCCTCGTGGCTGGCCTTTACAAAAACTAGACAAGCCATTTACAACACACACTTTGCTTCTCTACAAAAGAAAAAGGACACTAAACTATCTAAACTACTACATGCCACAAGGGGCCACAACAGTGGTTCCCTTAATCCACCCAGCAATATTGTTAATCTATCCAGCCATACTCTTAGCCCCGCAGAAGAATCTGTCCTATCTCGGGACCTCTCCTTCTGCCCCTTCACCCCCATGAACATGATACAGTTCTGTGGTGACCTAGAATCCTATTTTCGACGTCTCTGACTCAAGGAGTATTTCCAACACACCTCTGAACAGCATTGATGACATCTTAATGATATGGACCCATGGAAAAGAAGCCCTTGAGGAATTCCACCATGATTTCAACAATTTCCATCCCACCATCAACCTCAGCCTGGACCAGTCCACACAAGAGATCCACTTCCTGGACACTACGGCGCTAATAAGTGATGGCTACATAAACGCCACCCTATACCGGAAACCTACTGACCGCTATACTTACCTACATGCCTCCAGCTTTCATCCAGACAACACCACACGATCCATTGTCTATAGCCAAGCTCTATGATACAACTGCATTTGCTCCAACCCTCAGACAGAGACAAACACCTACAAGATCTCTATCAGGTGTTCTTACAACTACAATACCCACCTGCTGAAGTGAAGAAACAGATTGACAGAGCCAGAAGAATACCCAGAAGTTACCTACAGGACAGGCCCAACAAAAAAAATAACAGAACGCCACTAGCCATCCCCTTCAGCCCCCAACTAAAACCTCTCCAATGCATCATCAAGAATCTACAACCTATCCTGAAGGACAACTCATCAGATCTTGGGAGACAGGCCAGTCCTTGCTTACAGACAGCCCCCCAACCTGAAGCAAATTCTCACCAGCAACCACACACCACACAACAAAACCACTAACCCAGGAACCTATCCTTGCAACAAAGCCTGTTGCCAACTGTGTCCACATATCTATTCAGGGGACACCATCATAGGGCGTAATCACATCAGCCACACTATCAGAGGCTCATTCACCTGCACATCTACCAATGTGATATATGCCATCACGTGCCAGCAATACCCCTCTGCCATGTACATTGGCCAAACCGAACAGTCTCTACGTAAAAGAATAAATGGACACAAATCAGACGTCAGGCATTATAACATTCAAAAACCAGTCAGAGAACACTTCAATCTCTCTGGTCACTCGATTACAGACCTAAAAGTTGCAATTCTTCAACAAAAAAGCTTCAAAAACAGACTCCAGTGAGAGACTGCTGAATTGGAATTAAATGTGCAAACTGGACACCATTACATTAGGCTTGAATAAAGACTGGGAGTGGATGTGTCATTACACAAAGTAAAACTATTTCCCCTTGTTTATTCCCCTTCCCCCAACCGTTCCTCACATGTTCTTGTCAACTGCTAGAAATGGCCTACCTTGATTATCACTACAAAAGGTTTTTTTTTGTTTGTTTGTTTTTCCTCTCCTGCAGGTAATAGCTCACCTTACCTGATCACTCTTGTTATAGTGTGTATGGTAACACCCATTGTTTCATGTTCTCTGTGCCTATAAAATCTCCCCACTGTATTTTCCACTGCATGCATCTGATGAAGTGAGCTGTAGCTCACGAAAGCTTATGCACAAATAGATTTGTTAATCTCTAAGGTGCCACAAGTATTCCTTTTTTTTTTTTAAGGAGATTGGTGTTTTTGGGGTAGAACCTCTTTGTCTTGATCTCCAAAAGATTGTCTGACGAGACATTCCTTCCCCCCTTCACACCAGTTCCAGGAATGGTACTGCTGGTGCCTTCTCACCCCACCCTGATTACATGCTGAATGGTGATAACAATGAGACCCATCTGAACCTGTTCTAGGGAGAGAAGAGATGAGCAATGGAGTGGCCTTCTTTGCTCCAGTCACTGGAGGTGAAAAAAACAATCTTTTGCTCAATCCTCTTGCTTTCCTTGGCTGAGTCCTGGGAGATATTTGAACTATGAGTCCTCTTCAGAAGGTTATTCAAGCAGGGTAGAACATACTCTTCCCATTGGGATGTCAGGGAAAGCTTGGAGCTTTGATATCATGCCCTAAGCCTGATTGCCAAGCATGGTAATTAAGTGAGCTGGAAACACAGATTCTGTCTCTGGGAAGGGGGTAGTTAGAAAGGGAATATGAGTCAGCAGACAGAGCGTGGGTCTTTGATTCAGGAACACTGAGTAATCCCAGATCAGCACTGATTTGCTTGGTAACCTCAGGCAAATCACTTAACCTTTCTGTGCTTAGTTTCCCCGCCTGTATAAGGGGATAATTATACTTACCTCACTGGGATGATATGAGGATTGATTAATTAATGATTGTACAGGAGTTTAAAATATAATACGCTCTGCCCTGTAAGTGCTAAGTATTAATTAAGTGTCCACTTGATACTTTTGGCATTATGATTCCAGGGTCCCTGCCAGCTTTTACTGTCATAAACCCTAGCAGAGGTACCTCTGTCAGAGGGCAGGTGTGGAAGTGAAAAGTGGCCACTGCCTCTATTCTACTGGGGGTCTTCAAAAGGCAGTGCCTGCAGTCCTAAGGTGGGCTAAACTGCCCCAGGAGGATGGGCATCCAAGGCAACTGGAGGATACACTAATTCCGTGCATCTCTTTACCATTCTTTGCTTGTGGACTCCTGTGGAGCCCTGGCTGTGATTTAAAGCTGCTCCTCTTCGGTGGAAATTTTGAAAGAGGGCAGGTGAATTGCCCCTGGAATTCAGGAATATCAGCTGGTGGAGGTAGGTATAATTAACACCACGAACAGAGGAGAATCTAGCTGTGTGTTTACCACATGGCAGTTTCCAATATATCCTCTTGGAATTTGGAACTGCTTTCACGGATGCATACGCCATAAGGTCCATGGAGCTTTTGTCAGCAGCAATCTTGGAGGCTGTTTTCTGTTGGATAAGGGCCTAAAGGAAAATTAAACAAATTAGGATGGGCCATTCTTTTGTTG